GATATAATCATCTGGTCAGTAAAATTAAATAGAGCTTCTTTCTTGATACACTATAGCCTTTTAATCTGGGACTTGAGAAGGCTCAGAATGAAGAGACATGGGTTAACTGCTTATGTATTCCTAGTTTTCTCCTCAGAACATTTACATAGTGTGTCCCTGTTGGAATGTTCAAGATTGACTGTTGAGCACTAAATAGTCTGGGCCCAAGCACAGGAATAGATTAGTACACAGAGGCCTGATGGAATTTTCCTCTGAAGAAGGGCTCTACCTCTCCTTCTCACCCCACTCTGAACAGACACTGTAACTCTTGTGTGGGTCTGAGGCCTTGGTAAATAAAGCAGTGGCAAAGAGGGTGGGTTAGGCATCTTATATTTGCCAAGGACTCTTGAGAGAAAAAAGGAAACATTTTAACAATTTTACTACCAAATATTTCAAGCATATAAAAATGTATACAAATAATAAAACTAACACTCTTACGTCCACTATCAAACTTTGTCAAATCTTAATATTTTACCTTGTATCAGATCTAGTAGAAATAAAAGGGAACATCAGAGATGTGGCTGATGTTCTCTAAGGACCCCACCTGTACCACACATTCACCTGTCTTCTTTCCAAGACATATTTACTCTCCAGAGTTTGAAGTTTACATTGACGTGTGTTTTTTATTGTTATCTATAAATTTTTTGTGTTTTAAAATATATTCTCTAAGCAAGTTGTACATACACACATACACACACACACACACGCACCTTGGCTCACTATTCTATTTTTCAGATGTATCCATATTAAAACTTGAATAAATCACATTCCATGTCATCTACTTTAAACCAGTGAATTGCATTTCAGCATTTAAACTCATAAGTGATGGGGCACCTGAGTGGCTCAGTCAATTAAGCGTCTGACTTCAGCTCATGATCTCACAGTTTGTGGTTTCAAGCCCCGCATCAGGCTCTGTGCTGACAGCTCATAGCTGGAGCCTGCTCCAGATTCTGTGTCTCCTCTCTCTCTACTCCTCCCCTGTTCATTCTCTCTCTCTCTCTCTCTCTCTCTCTCTCTGTCTCTCTCTCTCTCAAAAAACTAATAAATTAACATTAAATTCCTAACAGATCAACTCATTCTCATGGTGGTATATGTTCATGTTGTTTCTTTTTCTTGGTATGGCAGGGGTACTGGTGGCAGGAGTGAGGGAAGAATAAAGAGCTACTTTTTCTTCCTGGTGATTCCAATATATACACTGCAAGAGAGTCTGTGTGGTTAAAAGATATCTGTGATGGTTAATCTTACAGGTCAAGTTGTCTGAACTATGATATCCAAATTTTTGGTTAAATGTTATTCCAGAAGTTTCTGTGAGGATGTTTTACGGATAAGATAAACATTTAAATTGATGGAATGTGAGTAAAGCAAATTGCCCTCCATAATGTAGGTGGACTTCAATCAATCAGTTCAAAGAGAAGAAAAAGCTAAGAGAAAAAAGACTGAGGTCCCCTGAGCAAGAAGGAATTCTTCCAACAGACTGCTTTGTCCAATGAAATGCAACTCTTCCCTGAGTCCCCAGCCTCCCAAGCCAACTGGTAGATTGTGGATTCATGGAGTCTTCAGAAGCACATGAGCCAATTCCTTAAAATCAATCAATCAATCAATCAATCTGCGTGTGTGTTTGTGTGTGCACATACATATATGAATGTACATACACACACACATCCTGTTACTTCTATTTTTATGGAAAACGCTGACTAACATAAGGTCAAAATATAAATTTCATTTGTTTTCATTTGTGGCTGTCTGGTCTTTGGAGATCCAGAAACTTGGGAATGGAGCAAAAGCAATGGACACATTTGTTGTGTATGCTTTTCTAGTTGTTGTGTATGCTTTTCTTTCACCTAAACTTACACTTTCGGCCCTGGGCCGTGAGTTATTTTCTCTACTCTCTGTGCTTTATCAGAAGATGTAAGATAAGGGGCACCTGGGTGGCTCAGTCGGTTAAGTGTCCGACTTCAGCTCAGGTCATGGTCTCATGGTCCGAGAGTTTGAGCCCCGCATTGGGCTCTGTGCTGATAGCTCAGAGCCTGGAGCTTTCTTCCCATTCTGTGTCTCCTCCTCTGTCTGCCCCTCCCACACTCATGCTCTGTCTTTCAAAAATGAATAAACATTAAAAAAAGAATTAAAAAAAAGAAGACACATGATTAATCTCATAGGCACTCAACTATTGTTTATTAAATTATTAGCTGAATAAATGTGCATGGTAATTTCAGAGAGCCAAATAGGGATAATAGTAATAAAGGGACCACTTAACCAACAAATCCATCAATACAAATACACCTGTGTGGCATGGTCATATATTTAGCACTATACTGGAAAGTGATGGGTAATAGGGTCCAGAGAGACTTGGAAAAATAATTGCAATGGTGACATTTAAGGTAAAAACATAAAAGCAATCAAAAAATGCCGGTACAAAAGGAGCATGTGATAAAAACAAATATAAAAAGAATCATAAGATAGTAGTGATAAAAATAAATATGAGAATAAGTATGAGAAGAACGAGAGGTAGCATGATACGATGATAAAAAGAATGCCGAATTTGGGAACTGAAGGACTGCATTCAAATCATAACACTGCCACCCTGTGTTCCATATAACCTTTGGCCAGACAATTAACTCTCTAGCCTTGTTTGACTTTTTTACAGAATGACTTTCAATTGTCTCTCACTGTGTTCACCCTCTAGATTTCCCATGTGTTGAGTGGTGAATAAGTCAGTTATATGAACGTCAAGTACTAATTTATTGATTTCCCTCTACCTGAACATCAAGTACTAATTTATTGATTTCCCTCTACCCTCTGTTTGTCAATCACAAAAACTACTCTGTTAATGAGGTAAAGCAGCATTCAGTACTCAAGGTGCTATGTTTAAAATTTTTTTTACATTTATTTATTTTTGATAGATGGAGAGAGAGAGAGACAGAGCACAAATGGGGAAGGGGCAAAGAGAGAAGGAGACACAGAATCAGAAGCAGGCTCCAGGCTCCGAGCTGTCAGCACAGAGCCCAACGCAGGGCTCGAACTCACAAACCATGAGATCATGACCTGAGCTGAAGTCAGACGCTTAACCGACTGAGCCACCCAGGTGCCCACCCAGTGGTGCTATGTTTAAAAGAAACTACTGAACTCTGTCAAAATCCAGTGACATTACCAAGTACAGGATGAACCACTCTGCTACTTCTTGGATGACTTCACAATTTACATCCTGTTCTGGAAACTTCAGAATCTTGTGACAGATCAGATCATGCAACACGGGTCATGTAAATGCCTTCAAGTTGCTCAAATCAGCAACCCCATAACAAGATAGGCAGTCAGATGAAATTATCAGAAGCACAGATGGCACTCAATCGGGTTTAGTGTGGGAGAATTCTCAAAACATGCGGGGATTGAGTTCTCCTTTATGCTACCCCTTTGTGGAAATGCTTTATGTTTAATCAACCTCTCTTTGCCCACATGCCTGAGAAATGCAATTCCCTTTTCAGTGGGGAAAATTGGCCCCTGACTGATTTCCATTATATTTATATATCCTTTGCCTTCCTGGGCATGCATCGGCTGGGTCTCTGCAGTGACAAACTGATGGATGGGGCTCTCTGGAGTGGAGAGGAGATGCAGCTCCATAGGACAGAGTTCCTCCTTTCCATCTATCTGCTCTGAAGGTATACCATCTCCCAGCTGGAAGCCACAGAAACACAACACAAAGATCCTGAGACTCGGAAAAGTGCTTTGAAAAAGAGAACTGAGAAATATAAAGTATAGTTAAAAGTGTCAGGGTATTCGGTTACAGTCCTGGCTCCACTGATAGCTAAATAGGTGACCTTGGATAAATCACATAAACTCATTAATAAAATGGAAATCTTTCTACCTCGTTTCTCTTGGGAAATAACCAAAAAATGAAAACATATATTAGGAATGCAAGGGTTTTTGGGTTTTTTTGATAAATATGATCATATATAGTCTACTAGGGATAAAAATCTCAAGGTGCTTCCTGTGGTACCCTCATTTGGCCCTGAGCAGTAGAGCTTTGTGGTTACATGTAAGGAAGGGATTCGGAAGTCACCTGCAGGATTTAAATCTCACCTCCAACTCTGGCCATAGGTGTGACCTCACATAAGTTCCTCAAACTGAATTATCAACCTTTTTTTTTTCCTTATCTACAAAGTAATTAGCTCACAGAGTTATTGTCATGTTAGTTCCACGTATGACAAAATTAACATAACTGAGTTGATTCTAGTTCTGGAAATTATTCTGGACACGCTGGTGTTATTTGGTATAGTATTTGTGTAAAAGGCTGAAAAGAAGCCAACGTAGATGATGCTAACACAAATCGTAGAGAAGGCAAAGTTTCTTTCTATGTCTAGTGCCAGCAGGCACCCCCAGACCCTCGTTCCTCCTTCCTGCTATCCCTTTAGTGAGCTCAATGGGATTTTAAAGCGGCTCTTCCTCCACACTGCCAATAGAAGAATGAAATACAGATATAAGATACTGTCCTCCAAAATGTACATTTTGTGGGGCCAAGCACAGGACACAAAGAAAATCTAGAGGAAAATTCTAGAGTGTACACACAAATGCTCAAGACATAGGATGTCAGAGATTAAGAAGCAAGGGAATTATCCTAGTGGGATACAAGCCACCATGGCTGTATCACAAAATCACAAAATCACAAAATCACAGTGAAGTTCTTTTGTATTCACAAAGTCACAGTGAAGTTCTTTGAGTGTCTACTGTGAAAACATTGTCCAACATACTTTATTATCTATAATCTCATTCAGTCCTCATAAATCTCCTTCAGAGTAAATATTACCATTCCCCCTTTAGAGAGGAGGAAAGGCTCACAGTGATGTCTCCTGGATGAAGTCACACAGAAGTTATGAAAAGAGAGTGAGTCTGTGATAGGTTTTTGCAGCTCTGCCTTACCTTCCCAGAATGTTAAAAGTTCATTTGGCTGGTCACATAAAATAACTCACCCCTAAGTGTCCAGGGCGGTCTTCTGGATTCTGGACCTTGTGCCGTTATTTTCTTGCTTTCATTGGCCCACTGGAAGCTTCAGTTCCCAAAATCTCCAGATAAGGAGTGGTTCCAAAGGTTCCCTGAACCTAAAAGGGAGAAGAAAATAATTGGTAGACAAAATCGTAATTGCACAAATAAAAAATAATGGCAGAATAGACCACTAAAAATAGGAATTAATATTTCCTGGAAAATGAGGGCAACCAAGTTTAAGACTTTATCCTGATAAAGTAAAACTAAAATGTATTAAAGGGAGTTAATTTTACATTTAATAAAAAAATAAATTATACTGCAATTATTTGACAATTATTAAAATTAACAAAGAATATTTGAGATCATTTTCCAAAGAAATTACGTAACTGCATGCCCATGTTACCCTCCAATGTAAAGGGAACCATTCTTGCAAAAAAAACACTGAGAGTTCATCAATTTTCCCAAAGGCTTCCCTGCATCCTTTGATATTCAGATCATCAAATTATTCTCCTTTGAAGCCTATCGTGTCATCCTCCTTGTCCATTTTTCTCTTCTTCAATTATTAACTGGTCTAACTCTGTCAGATCCTCATTTGTCAATTATTTTGCATGTGATTAGAGAAATTCTTCATCATCCCTTCATCTTTGCAAAATCCTGCAGCTTTTTCCAAGACGTGCAGTTTCCTTCTGCAGTCAAATTGGAATATACATGTGCTATGTTGTCAGATGTCTGAGAGTACCCAGCAAAGGTACCAAGGCTGTGGATGTAGAGAGCAGTATGTTAAGTGAAGAGAGATTTTCTCATGGACACTAACTGTAATGAGGGGACAGTTTATTAGTCCATGCTCTCATTCACTGATGCCTTTCATCCCACTCTCCTACATAGCTGTAACTCTAGGGGTGATGATAAATAATATTATGGTAAAAGGATTCTCTGTATTAGGAAGAATAATAACTCCTAAGTCCTGGGGAGCTCTTCACAGACAGCAAGCTACTTTCACATCCACCACCAATGTATCCTAACACTATCCTTTAAAGAGAGGTGGAGTAAGTATTTTTATATACAATTTCACAGATGAGGAAACTGAGACTCAGCAAGGTGTACATTTTTAAAGAATTTCTTCCTAACCTACTCTCCATCTTCAAAGTATTAACTTTTGTTTACTATTTTCTTGCTTGGCATTGAGTACTGTGCTAAGTATTTTACATGTAGCACCCCATTTATTCCTGATAACTGTCTGAGTGAATGATTACAATTAGGCATAATTAACTTAATTTTGTAAAAACAAAACTGAGGATAATTAAAGTTAAGGAACTTGTTGTATTAAGTCACTTATTGCTACAATAATCCTGTATAAGAAATAACCCCAAAATCTCAAAGGCTTCCAACAACCATCATTTATTTCTTACTCAAAGAATCAGCTGGAGGGCTGAGTTGACTCTGGTTCAGGTAGTAAGTTGGGTTCAGATCTGTTCCATGTGGGTCATTTATGACCCATGCTGAAGTTGCAGTAGCTATCTGGGGCAAGACCTCCTCATGACATGTCAGCAGTGCATGAGGCTATGTTCATGTCATATCCCCGAACCTGCCACTGTCCAAAATGAGTCACTGAATAAAACCAACTCAATGAAAAGGATGTAGAATCTGTCTACACTGCTGGGAAGCACTGAAGAGTCACATGACTAAGAGTATGGGTGGATAACCTATCATAGGTGTGGGCAGGCAAAGAGGGTAACAGTTACGTATTTTGTATTTCTGACAACAGCCATATCTTACCACTGGCCCAAGTCTCCCCACCAAGTTCGGACTCCAGAGCCCATGCTGTTAATCACTTCCAGGTACTTTGCAGGAACTGCACCCAATGCACAAAAGTGAGTCCTTGTGGTCATGTTGATACTATATCACCACTTCCTCCTGATCAAAGTTGTTTGTCACCTTCTAGCTGAACCCTCTTGATCCTCCTCTGTATATATAGCCCTGTGTAGCTCAGGAGCTAACCCAGAACTGGATGATTACTTTCTGTATTTCAAGGACAGCAGCTAAGAAGAAAAGATTTCCTCCTGGGCTGCACTGACCTTAACAGTATATTGAAACAGCAATTCTCAGTTCACAAAGCATTTTCATAGTTCTTATCTCAATGGACCCTTCTCCCTTAAATTTCAGGTAATAGACATTATTATAGCCATTTTAAAGATTTAGAAGCTGAGGCTTAGAAAAACAAAACTACTCTACAAATACATAGTTCATGAGCTCCCTGGTCTGGAAATGACGTGAAACCTTCTGCTTAATGTACTTCTATCATCTGGGCAGGCCACTTACTGAGGCTCCTGCAGATGACTTCACTTAATTTTCACAGCAGTGAAATGGGTCAGATGTTCTTATCTGTTTCTGTACACAAGAAGTTAGAACTGTCCCAGGTCATAAGCGAGGGAAGTGGCAAAACCATAGTCCAGCCCAGCTGTGTCACTGCACTGCCTCTTCCTTTAAACTCTACATGCTATTTTGTTTCTTCTTTCATTCTTGTCCCACCTCTCCACTAGGCAATCAGCTGCCAAAAGCCATATGGTCTCTTGCCTCAAACCCTTGTGATGTAGCCAAACCATGGTCTGGACCCAGGATTTGTCTTTGACTCCATACCTGAACATTTTCGTTCTTTTTTTCTCAGTCTCCTGTATGCTACTCTGTCTAGTTCCATCTGGATCAATTGCTTGCTGACCCTCAGGCCTATTGGCTAGATCCTGATGCCTATTACCTCTCATCCTGCCACACAGAACTTCTCTTCTTAATGTCCTATTTTAAGACATTTCTACATTTACAACTCTATCAGTTTGGACCAGAATGTCTTCAAGTTCAACTTTGGGACAAACGGGTTTTCAACACGTTTACAAGAATAAATCTATCCTTGATGTTTTTGTCCACAATATGTCTCATATATTTAAATTTTTCTTTTTATTTAAATTTACATATAATAAAATTAAACCTTTTTGTGTATAGTTCCATGGCATTTAACACATGAATAAGTTTGTGTTACTATCATAACTGATGCACAGAACCATTCTGTCACTTCAAAATTCCCTTCTGCTTTCCCTTTATAGTTACACCCTTCTTCACTCCTAACAATTGATATCCACTGATTAGTTCCTCACTGCTATAATTTTGTGTTTTCAAGAATGTCATATAATATGTAATCTTTTGAGCCTGGCTTCTCTCACTCACGATAATGCCTTTGAGATGCATCCAGAATGTTGTATGCATAAATAGGCCATTCCTTCTTATTGCTGAGTAACATTTCATTGTATGGATGTGCCCTGGTTTGTTTTTACATTTCTCTGTTGAAGGACATTTGGAAAGTTTCCAGTTTGGACTGATTATGAATAGAGCTGTCATAAACATTCACATATAGATGTTTGTATGAACAGAAGTTTTCATTACTCTAGGATAAGCATCCAGGAGCAGACTGCTAGGTCATATGATAAATGTATTCTTAACTTTATAAGAAAGTGCCATACAGTTTTCCAGAGTTAGAGGTAGTTTTCTTACCTACCTCTATGCAGTTTTATTACAGGCAGACTTTTGTTTGTTGGTTTGTTTTGTTTTGTTTTAGAGAGAGTGTGAACAAGGGAGAGGGCAAAGGGAGAGAGAGAAAGAGAGAGAGAATCCCAAGTAAACTATGCACTGTTAGCACAGAGCCCAACGTGGGGCTTGAACACATGAACTGTGAGATCATGACCTGAGCAAAAGTCAGACGCTTAACTGAGTCACCCAGGCATCCCTGATTTTGTTTCTTTATTCCTAATACCCATGGTATCTTTTGTATCAATTCTAAGCTTAATAAAAAATGATCAAAATTCCTGAATAAAACATGCGAAGGCTAAATTTTTGTTCTTAAGTGAATATTGTCTAATGCTAATATGCCCTATATTCATTATTTCAATGAATAATTGAATAGATTAATAATTTCTTTTAAACTTTAAATATTTTAACATAAACATCTACTGGAATAATGGTGAAATTGAAAGGAACCATTCTTATTTAACAAAATAACCAATGGCTATGGAAGAACATGAATATAGACACAATGCACAGCTCTATATGCACATTCATCTATTCATTCCTTTGCAAATTACTGACTTCATTTAAGTCATTTACCCAACGTCTTTCTACTAGTAAATAGAGGAGCTACTTCTCTTGATTTTCACATCAGGAATCTATTTACTATGTGAGAGTAATTTAAACTGGGATCTGTAGAACCCCAGGGGTCCCTACATGCACTCTTAAGGATGTGCTAGGTGCTCTTCAGGGTAACCAACCACCCCAATTTTTCCAAGAGTGAGGGTTTTTCCCAACATGTGGGACTGTCAGCACTAAAACTCGGAATATTCTGGGCAAACTGTGGGACTTTCAGCACTAAAACTTGGAATATTCTGGGCAAACTAATGAAATGATCATTCTAACTGGACAGAATGTGTTTGAATTCAATTACAGGAAGGTCACCCAGATGATTCAGTATATGTGTGTATATACACACATATATATACATATATATAGATATATATACACACATGTGTATATATATATACATATATATTAATATTAATATTGGAATTATGCAAACAAAATTATTTGTAGCTTTAATCCTCTTCCCTACCACATTCCCTTTCCCTTATCCCCAACTTCAGAGGAGCCAGAAGCAGAAGACTGAGTTGGGGGTAAAGTGGAGAAAGGAGAGCAAAGAACAGCCTGCATTTCCTTCGCCATTGCTGGTCAGTGGAATGCAAAGAAAACCTAAACTCGAATGAGCAGATCAGCTCTGAATTGGATGACAGACTGGATTCTTGAATTCTCCATCTCTGAAAATGATATTGGTAATTATCTCAAAGTGACCAGAAAACTAATGGAATCTGCTTAACGCAGCAGGTGGGAAAAGAGAAAGGAATTCAATAGACGTTTGAAGGCAGAACTGGGCACAAAACAAGGCCCTTTCCTGGCTCTTCCCTACCAAAGCCAGCCTGCTTTAAAAAGTAGTTATGGGAATGCAGGTTATCTCTTTGAATATTGATTTCAATTCTTCTGGGTCAATTCCCAGATGTAGAATTGCTGGATTATATGGTAGTTC